GAAAGTTAAACACCAACAGAAAAGCTCAATGACTCAGCAGGTATAAATCATCATACTGATCCTGTTGCATTTTTGTATTCAGGTATAGAAATTTAGCAACCTGCATTGGAAAACTTCTAAGTGTGCCCTTGTTAATAAGCCTGCTGCTCTGTTTGAGCAAGAGAACCTTTCAGTATACAAAATTTTGTATTGTTTGATAGAGCAGTGCTAACATAAAATGCGGAGGGTTTTATTGGGTGCAGTGGCATTGATTACTGATAGTCTTTGAAATGGGCACTAGGAATATAAATGTGGAAAAAAGTAACTCCTGCTATGCTATTTTTTTATGTTCTGTTCCCTGCCATTGTGTGTGCTGCTAACTTCAAGCAGGTAGATGCTAATGCACAGCAGGAACCAGGTTCTGCTAACACTGAAATGCCTCTTTATTTGGGACTAATGCCAGGACTAGGCGGTGGCTGTAACATTGGGAAGAGATCTGTAACAACTTTTGCACAGTACTTCCCTTGCTAGAAGCTGAGCAACAAGGTCTGTGTAGACACAGCCTATCTAAGTACACACATTGCTCAATGACCTTTTCAACCCGGCAGGTTCAGATTGCAGAACTTTGGGCAATGGACGCTGAGATTGTGGTTAATCAGCACTGAGCTGGGTGTAGATGGAATTGTCAAATGCTACTCCTGTCATTCTCTTGAAACAATGATTTCACTAGCTGCCAGGAAGCTATTTGGCAGGTCCCCTCTTGTGTATTCCCTCAGAAAAGTTGGCTGGAAAGTTCCCCCTCACCTGGGAAGCATTTGAAGCTCAGCTTGCTAGGAGACTGAGGGATTGCTGTGTTTAACCGGGTAGACCAAGTGCCAAGAATGAATTAGTTTCATCCTATGCTGCGCAGCAGAAACACAAGAAGAGGCTCTGATCTTGAGATTGACTGTACAGGTGGAGTCTTGCACCATGGCAAAGTATTCCATAATTAAAGACCTTTAAGTCACAGGTCAGGGCTCCCTTGTGAATAGAACCAAAAATTGCATGTACCAGATCTCGCAAGCTTCTTAGAAACAAACAGCTTAAAATATTTAAAATAAAAGAAGTTATCTGCTTTGTTGTTGAGTCTTGTTGGATTTTTCCTTAAGGTGGAAGGGGGGGATTGTTTTGATTATTTTATTTTGCATTTCACAGTGCATGAATGAAATCACACCTGATGCATATGTAACATAAATGCAAGAAGGATGATAATGCTGGAAACTGGGTTTGTTTTATTATTTTATAAGCTACTTCTTTTTGTTGCTATTGCTTTTCTTGGTACATTCCTGGTAGAGATTTTAGCTGCTGGTTTGAGAATTCTTTGTTAAAGCACCACTCTTGCCTGCTGGGCAAACTGCTTCTGCTGCGAGTATAAAATTATGAATTCTTGGCATAATTCTAAACTAGTAATAGTGGATTGATCTTGGGAAAACAAGTTCCTCTGGGGTTTCAGATTTCATGTTGAGCTACAAATGCATAGATGACTTTTATAATCTTGTGCTTTGTCAAGGAAGACATGCTGGTCAGCTTCCATGTTTACTTCATTCCAAAACAACATGGTTCTTTCAATAAAAAGTTATGACATTGTAGTTTGTCAGAATGTTCTGGAACGTTACTGTCAATATTATTTTGATTCTGTCAGTTCTGGTTTTGAGAAGGATGAAGTCTTTTAAGGGCTAAATTTATTTAAATAACTTAGTCCTGATGGTTACAGAGATCTCCTTATGGAAGACTTGTGGTCAGCAGCTTGTGGTTAAGTGGAAGGAAGTTATGGAGTAAGTCAATCACGAGCAGGTTTTCCCTGTTCTTAGTCCATTCTTTTTCATCATCAGTGTTCCCTGAAGGGTATTTTAGCAGATTGTTGCCCCTTGAGGCCCCTTACTCAAGGTCTGTGCCCTTCAAGACTGTTGTGAGCACCAAGCCTGTGCCTGGCTTTCCTTCAAATGAACAGGAGCTTTGTGGCTGGGTGGGGAACCCAGTCACAATCTCTCCCTTTATCTTCTCCTACTTAGAGTATCTTGTGGTGCCATATGGGCAGTGAGAACACTCATCATCTTTCCTCAGATGATTTACCAACTCCAAACAAGTTGTATTTTCCTCTCAGTAGTCTCAGCCGTTTCTGGCGTGACGCACATAGCCTTACACAGCTAGCTTCATCTTATTTGTCCTCTTTCCTGAAAATCTGTATTTTCTACACCAGAATTTCAGTTATTATTAATATAGGAATAATATTTGGGGCATTTTATTATATTTCCATTGGCCCATGCTCCTCCTTGATGCTTTGTAGGTCCCTGATTTAAGGTTTAAATGCTTTAGTTGTCTCTCACTCTTGATGCAGTTTCTTTGGCTAGACATGGCACTATCACATTACTGACTACATTGCCTACACAGCTATTGCTGGTTTTGCCCTGTCTGCCATTTTACATGCTGGTTTTAATTGTGCCTTGGCATGTTTGTAGACTTTTGCATTTCTTAGTTTAAGTTGGGTCTCTGAACTATGTCAGATTGGATGCCAAAGAATGCCAGGACTTACCCAATAACTCCTGTTTTCATGAATATGTGCTCTCTATTATCAAATATTCCTCATCCTAGAGCTTTCTGCTCATCCTTTATCTTGCTACACTATTTTTCCCTGCCTTAAAAGCCAAACCTGAGGTGTTGCATGCTGTGTTGGTGAAGATCACTTTGCCTCAGCCCATGCCTGTGCAGGTTTGGCTGAGGATGGCAGAGAAAAATAAGAAAGCCAGGGTTTGTTAAGGAGTGTCCTCAAACTCTTCTTTTACTAAAACATATGCTAGTTTTGCCTTCTACAGTATCTGTGCTTGATCTCTGAATTGAATTTTTTTTGTTGTCGTCATCTAGGGGAGAAAAATTGGTGACTGAAGAAAGAAAGGGTGATTGCCACTAGATTCATAGAAATAATTAAAATCATCAGCACAAGAGAGAGATCTCTTTCTGCCCATAATAAAATACTGATGTCAAATTGATAGATTTTTAATTTTTTCATTATGTATCTCATCAAATAGATAGCTAGGGATAAGCTAAATGTATTTTGACTTAGTTTGTTTTAGTTTTTCATATCTAGTTCAAATAAAAAAATAAATTTTCTACATAGCTGTTGGCAGTGTTTTCTATAAAAAGTGACCAGGAATGGGAAATCACTGTCATGATACATAAATACTCAGTATTATTAAGTTCTCTGCATAAAAGAGTATTTAATGCCTTTGGATGGAATCATGCTTTATTTTCTTATTTATGGCTCCTCCTATGTTAGAGCTAGTGTACTGGATCCTCTTCTCCCATCAGCTTATGGGATCATTCTGAAACAAAGACCCATACTTCCTTGGCTATTGGATTGTCCAGAAGGCTAGAGGTACCTTTTTTCTGCAGTTATCATGTTTGTGAAGACTTACACTGCTTTAAAGTGTTCTACAAATTCATTAAAGATCATATTTAAAAGTCAGAGTAAATATAACCCATTTATGGGACAGTGTATGTATCTACTGTGATCTGAACTACCTGCCCGTAGTCCGGAGGATTTACCCTTTTCTGTGTGCAGAGGTACTCTTTAAAATCTGGAGATAATACTTAGTGCTAGTATAAATTTTTTCCAATGGCTGGTGTCTCCTGTATTAAGCATTTTAGTATCTGAGCTCATATACCTCTTAAATATTTTAAGTATTGCAGGAGCCTAGAGGGTAGATCAGTGCTCCCATCTGTCTTGCAAGATGTGACATTCTGAATGTGACACGAGTATCACAGCAGTGTACCCAGACATGGAGCTCATTGCCATGGGTTTCAGTCAGTGTTTCCTTAGAAAAGACTCTCAGTTCTTAATTTGTCTGATACAATCCAATTTAGGGTGTTAAGACTGTGGTTATTCAGGTCCATACAGTGTAAAAATACAGAGTTGTTTTCCTAAACGAAATGATCCATTTTCACAGATCTCCAAACTGAAAGAAGCTGTTGCAAACCACTGGCTGTGACCCCCACCCCTCTACCCCCACTGCAGGGTACTGCACATCAGCAACACCTGTACAGGGCCCAGGGCTTGTGCTTCACAAAGAGCATTTCTGCCAGAGAGGATCCAGCCTTGATCTGAAAATCAGGAGACAGATATTCTGCTGCCATCTGCAGCTTGTCTGGTTGCATCTTGCATTAATTCGCCAAATACCTGCCTCTGCTGCCTGAGTCCTCACCACCCTCTCCCTGTACAGGTTGAGTTGTGCAGGCAGACCACCCCTCAGATAGACTTCAGGGCTGCTAACATCTGAGTTGCTGCCTCCAGGATTTTGAATACTGCTTTAGCTCTTTCTTGTGCATCTCCAGGATTTCACAATGTAATTTTAAAGATCTGTAGACCAGAACTGAACTTGTAATTCCATTTTTGTTCACGCTGCTTTTTCTGAAAGGATGAGATATACCAGAGGAGTGTGCTACCCCTCCTTGCCACACTTGCTCAAGCAGGCTCACTGCTGGAGCCCCCTGCCAGGTTCAGGCTTGTGGCACTCAGGATGAAGGCTTTCATTTCAGAGATATGGCTAGAACTTGTCATCCAGTCATTTTCAGTTTTACATTTGACATTTGTCCTCATTCATTTCTTTGCCAGTCTCAGTTATAAGCTCCAAATTTTGAAACGTGTATTTCCATCATTGGAATGATGGAAAAATCACTGGGATTTACACTCTGAAACATCACTCTAAATATTATGATTTTATGGTATTTTCCTGTTTGCAGGTACTTTGGAGACCTGACAGATAGCCCAAGCATTGATCCTATACTTTATTGAATGGCATAGCTGAGTGTGTAATTTAGACCACCAAAGACAAAATGTAGTGGAGTTGGGTGAGATGAAAAGGAAGTCGTTCTGTTATGTTCAGGTAATTTACATGCGTGATTTGTTCAGTTCTGTTTCTAAGTACGTATTGAACATGACGTTCTTTATGTCTGAAATAGTAGCAGAATAACCTAGTGGTTGCTAAGGTAATGAGAACCCACCGTTCCCTTACCTATTCATGTAAGTAAAGTATGGAATTTAATTTCACTCTGTGTTACCTGAGGCAACTCTGGAATCTGATAAAAAGAATGATCTTCACATTCTTCTCCTCTTCCTTTCTGATTTTCATTGAAATACTGAGATGTTTCTCTATTTGTAAATAAATGAGGCTGCCCTGCAGATGGTGGGGTAGAAAGTAGACTAAGAATTACATCTTTTGTCTTGCAGCTGTTTTTCCTCTCAAAGTAAATTTGTCTTCCTGCTGAAACACTTCTATTGCATGTGATAGGGACTGCAGATTTGACTGCCAAAAGAGTTCTTCTTTCTGTTTTTCTCTTGATGGAGAACTTACATAATTATTGTCTGTTCTGGTGCTTTGGATTGAAAGCACAGCATGAGCATGAATCCTAGATTTATTTCTTCATCAGAGGAAAAAAGGTTCCTTTCTGATTGTGTATCAAAGAGCAGTATGGTAAAACCAGAAATGTGCAAACACAGGGCACCAGTAGGTGAATGAGTGAGATGCTTACCTGGTGAAACGATTTTTGACAAGGATTGTCACTTCCTCGGGAGTGCAGGCAGCAAACAAGAAATCCAAAGGGGCTCTGACCACTGTGCAACCAGGCAACACTGCACCCCAGGCCACCTTGACTTCGTAATGAAAAAAAGAGAATCCATATTGAGCTACTCAGCAGCTAATCAATCACCCGAGTCCACCAGGCTGGTCGTGCAAGATTCTCTCTCTTACCTTCATAAGGAGCAAGAAGAAACAGCTGGGGCATAGGATGGAGTCATGCTTGGAGGGGATGTATTTGCAAGAGAAAGGCAGCTTGTTACGCTGCATTATGCACCAGCAGAATAGTATTCCTGCTTTTTTGCGCTACAAATTGTGAAACAATTAATGCCTTAACCATGTCAAATTGATACCAAGTCATGGGTCACTTGCAAATTATAAGTTGCCAAAAGTGGGCTATTTTAGCCTAATAACTATTTGGATATCAAGACTTTATATTCCAATAGTCTGTTTGCTCGGAGAAGTGGATCAGGGAAGCGAAGTGGACAGCTGGCATAATATATGGACACTTGAACCTGGAAACGAAAAGACAGCTGCTGGTTCTAATTTTAAACGTAGGTCTTGGTCAGATCCCTCTAGATCCTGCTTGTCCTGCTTCAGCAAAGTCATTAATGGTGGTAGAGAGGCGTGAAATTGAAGATACTGATAAAGAGCTTTTGTGAGGAAGGGAATCACCCTTGTTCCAGTTATGGTATTTCCATTTTTCACAGTAAGTATTGTTAGCTTCCAGAGAATGAGTGTGGAATCAGTTTCTGGCTGGTACATGGTCTGACGCTGCTGACACGGGCAGCTCTTCTGGGGCGTCTTAATGGGCTGTGGGACTCGCTGTTCTGGAAGTACAAGGGCATCCAGCGCCGTTTCAAATGAGGAAACTAAGTAACAGTGGGGATTTTCCTAATATTTTTAAATAACACATGGTTACATATCAGTCAGGTTGTAATTCCGCGGTTTTACATCACGGCTCGGGAATGCGGCGGCGTTTAGCGGCGGTCTGCAGCCCCATCTAGCGGGGGGCGGCAAATCCTGCCTGCTCGGTTTGGATTTGTTGTTTGTTTGTTTGTCTGTTTGTTTTTTAGCAAGTACAAAAATAACCACGAACGATATCGTACTGGTAGAATACTTCATTCGGGATTAGCAAATTAGAGACTTCATTTAACTCAGCAGCTGGTTAAGTGTTTCCAAGTTTCTGTTTTGCTTTCAGAATGCCATTACCAAGCTGGGGTTTGTTTGTTTGTTTGTTTTAAAGTGTGATAGTATTGTTCTGCTTTATTAGGACTATGATGCTAAAATTAAGGAATATGGAAACATTTCTGGTGTTCATTCTCTTTAGGAAGTTAGCTAACCTCTGGGAATTTTGGAAGCAAGCAGCTCACTGCTCATCTGAGGTGAAGATTCCCCTTTGTTAGACCACTCTGCCAACCACAATAGGTTTAGAAATAACAACCTTATTATAACAACAACAGGTTTAGAAATAGACCACTCTGCCAACCACAGTAGGTTTAGAATAATTAATGCTGGTTAATATCTGCTTCAAGAAAGTGAAACGTCCAAATTTTTTAAAGATCTGATTTATTTTCTTTTTAGTAACAGGAAGCTTGATGAAATAAGGATAAAGAATATTGACATTTTATTACAAAACTTTAAACTGTGACTTGAATTTACATCTGTGGAGCTTGGTTAGGGCAGAAAAGTTACTACAATATAATTATATTGTTCTAAAGGCAGTCTACTCAAGATGGTGTGAATCTCCAATACAGAAAGACATTCTCAGTTAATTAATGATCACACTCAAATATAAATGCAGTATGCATTTATCTGTCTTTTTTCCCTAAGGCTATCCTAAGTGGATAAAACATATTTATTCTAATGTGGCATGTAAAATCTCTGTTGTAAAGCATTGTAAATAGCATGAAAAGGGCTGAGAGAGCAAGTCAGAGCTGGAGTTGTACAGAGGCCATAAATGGCCAAGTAGGAGGTCACATTTCATTTAATATCAACAGTATTAGCTCCATTAGTATTAGATTTGTGTTATATTTAAACTTTCAGCTTTCCTGCCTCCTGCACAGGTGAATGCTGTTCTTGTTGACTGAACTCAAAGGCTTTGAAGTGCCAGCTGACAAGGGGGGGGGGCGTATTTCAAATCTTCTATCCCATGTTTGCCTGTGTATCCTTTCTAAGCTTGAATTTTTGTCTGCACCTCCTATTTAATGCTCTTACTGTCAACAGTCTAGTTCAGAAGTGCCGAAATTGCGGAAAGAAGATCAGAAAGCACGAAGTGCACTCTTGGCTGATATCCAGCAGGGAACTCGCTTAAGAAAAGTGACTCAAATCAATGACCGCAGTGCCCCACAGATTGAAAGTAAGTATGTGCTCCTCAGCAAAGCCTGAGGGAGCTTCACTGAGGCCTCAGGTGTGGGTGGAGATCCCTTGAACAGTTTCAAACTGAAGGGCAGCAAAGTCTGTATCTTCATATGGCTTTAGGATGCAGAGAGGGGACACTCTCTAAGCTTGCATCCTGCTCTGAGATCAGTAACTATTAACATTTCATGATAAGTCTGTAACTGGATGTCTCCTTAACAGGCATTCCTTGTCCAGAAAAAAAAAAATCATGATTAAAAAAAAATCCTTGAGAGTTTCTTAATAAAAAAATTAATGAACAATTGTTGGCTCTAGCAGAAGAATTGTTCCTTACTAGATTAAAAGAACAAAAGTGCCAAAAAATTTTGGAAACATAAATTTAACACAACTTCATCTTGGTGTCACAATTAATGTGACATTAAAGAGCACCAGAGGGTGCTGTGCTCCAAGTTACAGGTCTGAGAGTGATGGCACTTATTGTAGTAACAGTAGAGGGAAAAGTCTAGCCTTGGCTGTTTGTTGGTGCCAAGCCTTAGCAGTCTCAGGGCAAGGATGAAATGATTTTCTGATATACTCTGTGTTTTGGTTCTTTTTAACAGAACCCAAAGGAGCTAACAGAGATGGAGTTAATCCAGCCATCAATAAAGGTGGCTCTCAGCAGCCTCTGGGAGGTTTATTTGCTGGTGGCTTTCCTGTTCTCAGACCAGCAGGCCAGAGGGACATGACAGGTAAGGACTTCATTTGTATGAAAGCATAGCTGACAGGAGCAGTGATCTGGGATAAAAACACTTTGAGAATAGCTTTAGTGATTGATTTTTATTGTTTTTTTTTTCTGAAGCTTTAGTTCATCGTGTAAACATGGAGGGCTCAATTAGTAACATGCTTGAAGCCATTTTTCTAGATCTCATGTGCCTTATTTGCTAAAATGTAAATAAAAAGCTTTCTGCACGCTGGGTAGGAAAGAGATTGAATAGATCTCTTTAACTGAGCTTTTTACATTATTTTAATGAAAATTTCTAATTGTGCCTCAGAGTATTGAAATCTGAGCTTATCAGTTCAGCACAAATGGCAAAGTCATATTTCCTTCCCTCTATTAGCATGTACTTCTATGGTATTACAGTCCTGGGTGTTACTTTAAAGATTCTTATTTAAGATTTTTGCCCTCTGGACTTTATAAAGTATAGTTTTGATCCAGCACGGTTATTTATTGACCTTGAAAAGCATTTTGTTGCTTCACAATGACAGGAGGAAGTTAAGTGCAGGAGCCCTACTGTTCCTTTCCCCTCAAGAAGTGCCAGCATCAATGAGGGGTGACTGTTAGAGTCACAGTGATGACCTCTGGTGCTCTTGGGCAGCTGGTGCCTGATCAGGCAGCACAGAGCAAAGCAGGCTTTTGCAGTGAAAGACCTTGGTTCTACCTGCAGGGTTTTTACTCCTGGAAGGCAAGCCCAAGATGCACAGCACTGCATGTGATAGGGCTTCCTCACATAGCTTCAGCTGCAGCAGCTACTTAGAGTTGTTCTTAAAACTATGGCCATGCTTATCAGACTGTGTGAGCATAGAATGAGATGCCTTTTTTGACATCTTGCTTTGTGATAAATCCTTGACATTTACTCAGGAAAATACATTTTGTAGAGTCGACAGTCTTTGGGCATTTGCTGTTGAAAAGAAAATATTTGCACCTGTGCCTCCTGGAAAGCCTTTGAGGCATTGCTTCTAAGAGCTTGGGGTTTATTCATGGGGTTGAGATTTATGTAAAGTTTGTGTGAATTTTTTAGACCTAAGCAATCACTTAACTTCAAGGATGCAATTTGATGCGTGTCAAACTACCTTTTCACCAGGACTCAATGATGCTCAGCTGGATGTACTAGACAGATGAGGCTGGTGTGAAGGACCCCAGATCTCTGCAGAAAAGCACCTTCTTCTTACACTGTTTCATTTTGCAGAAACTGAAGGGAAGGGGCCAGGGTCTCTAAGCAGTTCGTCACATAACTAAGCAGAGTCCCTTGTGCCAATTGGAGTACATCTCACCTCCTAAGCCACATTAGGAGGGCAACCGTTGGATACGAGATATTTTGGGAGAATTAATTTAACCCCTTAGGGTATCCACCGGGGAGGGGAAGATGCAGAGCTTGCTCTCTGCACTGTTTTGTCTGATGAGTGGGGAGGCGGTCCTGGAGTATAACGTGTGACACATCCTGTTTTCAGCAGGGAGGCCTGGGCAGCTTTCCGGAGTCCGAGCAGCAGCCCCCAAACCCTCCGCCCCACCGAACAGCGGCGCTGCCAAGCCGGGCAGTAACCCCTCGCACCCAGCCGAAGCTCCAAGGGCAACTGTGCCACCAGAGCCCCCCAGCACCTCCCGACCCGCAGCGGGACCCGCAGCTGGCCCCGGGCGGCCCAGCCTGCCCGCCCCGCCTCCACCTCCTGCTTCCAGCAAACCTTCCCTCACTTTCCCTCCTCCTCCCCCTCTGCCCCCTCCGGCCGATCGCCCTCCCAAGGGGGTGACTCCCGGCGCGGCTCCTCCGCCCCCGCTCCCTCCTCCCCAGGCTGACAAACCCGCCAAGTTTCCAGCAGGCG